ATATATATATATATATATATATATATATATATATATATATATATATATATATATATATATATATAGTTCTACCGCGTTCTGTACGTCACTGCGTTGTTGAAACTGATAGCGACGACAACTTAGCACAGATTGGACTCAATGGTATGCACACCTTGTAAAGAAATTGATTCTGATCACATGTGCATGAAGAATGTTCGTGTGTGTGTGTGTGTGTGTTAATTGAGATGTAGGACTTTTTTTTTACATAAATCGTACGCGATACATATTTATCTTTTCTAAACATTATATAGGTAATATACAATCCATTATAAAAATTAGGCACCTGATCTGCCCACTAATAACGTTGGTTCCTGTGGCAGCTTTTTTCTAACACGCATTTATCATCTGCGATAAAATGATGGATAACCGAATTATGACTTGTGATGTTAGTCATTTATTTATGAACTTATAGAGAATAACTTATTTCATCAGTAGACCGTTTAAATGTATAACGTACATACCACTTAACTTCGGGATAGCGACATTTCTATAAATAAAAAATATTGTGCAATATCATAGTAAATTGATTCAATTAGAATTTAATGTATTCGTGATTATATCAGAATAAAATATTTAGTTTTCCCCTTATATTTGAAATACATTTTTATTTTTATTTATTACAAAGTAATATGGTCAGTTGTTTCTGTTACCATTTCACTGTAAATTACTCATTCACATGATCATAAATTGTGCCACCATTTACTGGATGTTTTGAACGAAGCACAAAAGAATTATGAATGCCGGCTTCCTTAAAAGGGCTAGTGCATGTTGCATCTAGTATGCATAACAGTATTCTTTCGATAAAATATTGAAAACACGCACGTATTTAGTAGAGTGAATATTGCTGTGTTTGCAGTGACAACATTGTCTTTTGTTTTACAATACTTGTGAATCATACCATAATACAGCAAGGTGTAGTATCCAATATCCAATTCTTAAATCCGTCTTTTTTTACGCTTAGGGAGGGCTGTTGAATGGTTTGTTTCACTACATCACACGAAATACACTAACACAACACCAGTAACTATTTTGCAAAATAATCTATATTAAACTATCTTTGTTGACATTGATGTTACAGAAAATGTACAATCTTTATGACATTGAGTACATAGTCATGAATGTATTTAACGATATGAAGTACACCCCGATTCGTTTACATCAATCATTTTTAAGAATCTTCCTGCAATTTTATAATCGACCATATTTCAGTGACGACAACATCGTTTTTGCAAGGTCAGTCAGTTATCAAATTTCAGATCACGTGATAAATATGAACACATATTATTTGGCAAGTTGGCGATTAAAAACGCGCACTTCACAGTTCTGATAAAAAAGTTCGGCGACTTTCTTAATCCGTTGTAGTATATCAGATCGCAAGGTGTGAGAATAGGCATTTGTCACATGTAGATGTTAATGCATAGCACTACAACAGTATAATATATTTCCTCTTTGACACATTTGTATTTGGAATGACCGAATTCCAGAATACCACAATAGATTTAAATCTGGGATTACATGTATTATAATGGTTTTATGTGTGTTCATTGTTAAACCTCTCAGACCATATACTGTAGTTTGTTTAACAAGATAATTATATTTGGAAACCGGGCGTTATCAAAACAGTGTGAACATGCATTTTTAATGAGTTCACCTGTACCGATAACGCCCAATTTCCAAAAAACAATTCAAACTAATGGTAGATGTTAGTGATGTAGGTTGTGGTGGTATTCTCATGCAACACAATATTGATAATCATATTTGTTATTTCTTTGAGAAATTCGATAAGCACAAGAAAAACTATTCCACAATTGAGAAAGAATGTTTATCTTTGATATGTATGTGTGTGTGTGTGTGTGTGTGTGTGTGTGTGTTACACTACTGTATATTCTGTGCTAGTATACGCCGATCATAACCCACTTGTATTTATTAGTCGCATGAAAAATGTAAATCGACGTTTAATGAGATGGAGTTTAACCTTACAAATTACAATTTGGTTATTAAACAAATTAAAGGAAGAAATAATATTTTTGCAGATGCTTTATCCAGAAATATATAAATATTGTACTTAGAAAACAAAACGAATGTTATAGATTGTAAAGCAATTACTAATTTATTATATTATACGGGTGAGGGTGTTATGTGTGGCTTAAATTAAATATAAAATATTACAAAAAGGTTTAAAAGTATTTTGGTTTAGAAATTAAATATAATAGCGCCCTCTCATGTGTCTGGTTAAATATGGGCAGGACCATTGGTGGCGCTTTTAAATTCACAATGCTTTGTATAAGAAAACAATGGATTTTTCTCTCACTTTTAGTTTGAAGTCCACAGTTCCCATTCGTTCCTTCTTGTTTCTCTTGTCAATTTATAGCTTTTCTTTAGGTGTCTTCTGTTGCAAGCAAGTCGTTCCTTGTCTGAGGTTCGCGAAATTCGTTAGTGCCCA